GGATGGATTGTGTCGTTTTACCATCGTTTCATGGTATCATGCACCAGTAATATGATGAATAAACTTGCAATATTATAAAGAAAAATTATGAGATGGTATATAAAAAGGTAGGGTAAATGATAAAATAAAATTATTTAATAATAATGAAGGGTGAGATTGAGAGAAAAACACAAGGAAACGATGCGACCACACCAAATCGGTCGTTACATAAAGTGGCATATTTCATCGTTACGTAACGACAGATTTAACGATACGATACAATAAAATTTAAGTAACAATCAAAACAAACATTGTATTTAAAGTAACAATACGATATGATACAACTGGTAACAACCATCCAAACAAGCTGTTAGGTAACACAAAATAAGACCTTGGAACTGAAGGTTGATCTCGTGGACAACTTTTATACACACTTCAAAGAGGTATTTCAATTTATATTTCATGTAACTCAAAATTTGTATGTCTAGTTTACATGTAATTTTGTCTTGGACTTCTTTTAAGTTTGTAGCATATTATTTCCATCATATATAATTGTAAAAATTACTTACTAATTAAGTAAAACGTCTCATCATGTTCTCCCGCCTTTTAAAATACTAATGGTAAATGGTTATAACTTTACGATGCATCTCTAATTAGGTCAATTTGTTCAATTTCTTTAGACTTTCTATTCCACGCATTTTTTTTTTGTCTATTATTCATGGAAACACGCTCATACGAAAACAAATCAAAAGAACAAAAACTGTATTTGAAAAAACCGACCAGCGGCAAAAAGGAAAAAAAAAAGAATAATGAGATTGAGAGATCCTATTAAGAGGGTGTTTAGCTAAGCTTATAAGCTGGTTATACATGCTTATAAGCACTTTTTGGCTTATCTACACGATTGAAAAATTAAAAGTGTTTTATAAATCTAGTGCTTATCAGCCAAAAATAAGCCAAAAGTCATAAGTTGATCTCTCCCAACTTATCAAATTTAAGCTTATAACCACATTAGGTTTGATCAAAATATTTACTATTCTATCCCTAAAATACTTATTTTAAAACAAAACTCCTCGTATAATTTCACTCTCTCCCAAGCAATACATAATAAGTGCTTGCTTCTTCTCTACAAATAGTGTGTGCATTATTTAAGTTTTTTTTTTTCTTAACTTTTGTCAATTTATACTCCACCCATTCTAATTTATGATTGTATACTTATCATAACATAAATTATATTTATAAAAAATGGTATTAACTAATCATTTTATAATTAAAATAACATGATAAATAGGTTATTTTTTATTTGAATCTATGTATAATCTAAAATTTTTGAAGAAAATGACATTTTTAGTAGTGTAAATTGTTATAAGGTCATTCAAGTCATTTTAACATAAAAAGAGCTTATCAGCATTTTCTAATCAAAGAGTTTCAAACGCTTACTATTAATTTCAGCACTTTTATCATAAAGCGTAATTGCTTATTTATTAAATCAGTTTCAACAGTTAAAAGTAATTTTCAACCTTAAATATTTATCAGCTACTCGAAATCAGCTAACCCAAATGGCTTACATCAATCTGTGTTAGATTGAAAAAAAATGGAATTTTTACCTAGCTATACTATAATAGAAACCTATTTACTACCTTTATTTAGTTTCCTTGTTAATTACTTTATATACCTATATTTACTAGTTTTATACAAAACCATAAAAAAGAGGAAATGCAACATACCTTAATAATAGCGTATCAGTTACACATAATCCCATACATTTAAGATTCTTTTCCTTTTTCTAAAGGATTACAAAAACATCTTCTAATTTTGTACTTACCCACCGTAAGAATTCCCCCTTACTTCTAACCCAAAAATCTCGCTTACTCACTCCTCTTCCAAAGCTTTTGATATCCGATTTCTCTCTTTCAATCATCCACTATTATCCCCAAAATTGCAAATTCTTTCTTCTTCCAAAGCGTTTGATATCCGATTTCTCTATTTCAATCATCCAAAACTATATTGAAATAAATAAACCCATAGTGAAAGAGATTACAAGAACAAGGTTGCAAGTTTCTACAGCTTAGAGGGGAGAAAATTACAAACAAGCAACAAAAAGAATGATATTTACTTCCAAGAAATAATTTACACAAAACGGCAACTATGAACCAAAGGCGGTCACAGAATTGCCTTTGTCGTGGATACTTTACACTTGAAATACACCTCTCATTCCTCTAATTTACACATATTTTCTCTACAATCAAGTTGTGGGTAAGTTGTGGATACAATACTAATACAATTATAATATTATTATATTAAATTATTAGTGTAGAGTTGTGATTGACACTTGAAGAAAATAAAGATCATAATTGTATTATAATTTTTCAGAAATGTATCGCGATTGTATTATAATTGTATATGTATCATAATTGTTGCAGGAATTGTATTACTAATGTATGAGAATTATATATTCATTGTATATTATTACAAGCAGTTGTGAATTTGTGACGAATTTCACAATTTGTATCACAAATATGATAATTGTATATTAATTTATTAATATTGCATCAGGTAATATTTTGGGTATTAATGTACCAAATACAAGTTAGATACAATTGTGATACAAGTATGATACATTTATGTTTTAGGCATTGATGTATTTGATACAATTCAACTACAATTATGATACAGTTATCATACAATTTTTAAATATTTTTAAATAATATAAAGCTGTAGGCAATGGTGAAGAGAGAAGATGGAGATTCTGGATGTAGATTAAGTGATTTTAATTTTTAAATAAAAAGGAGAGAGAAGAGGAGAAGGGAAAAAAAAGGAAAGGATGTAATTGAATCCCTTAATTGAAGACACTAATAATGGGGTGGGAGCCTTTTAAGAAGCAATGTATACAAGTTGTAAGAAAAACTTAGATACTTATTAAAACTGCAAAACATAGAGAACATAGGTAAATAAGTTTCTAATCTGTACTATATTAAAAGCACGAAGGCAATTAGCGAAATGTTATTCGCCTTTTTTACCCCTTTAAAATATAGTTCATATTGGACAAAATCAACATTTAAAATTATTTCCTAATATTTAGAAATTTTAGATCAACTAAATTTTGTGCTTTAAATTCTTCCTTATTTAAACTAGGTAAGAAATCATAATATTTAGGACTTTAAAATCAATTAAAAAATAAATTGTTAAGAAAAAGGAAAGGAAAAACTATCAACAACCCCAAATCAACAACAAACCATTGGGAAGAATTAGTGGTACGTGCATTAAAAAATTGTTACTAATTTATGTGATTTTCTTTATATAGACCAACTTAATGTTACTTATGCTATTACGAGGAGGAAAAACATAAATGCCACAAAGTTAAATGATGAAAACCATTGTAGACATGAGCAAGACTTTTCAAATAAATATGAGAGAGTGATTAATTATTAATAATAGTTTGCATAATTTATCTCATACTATAATATTTGAAAATTACACCTCAATAATTTCAACAAGTAAATACAAAAACATAAAAGAGAGAGAGGTGTTGGGATGTTGACAATAGTTAAAAAACACGAATAACTTTGCAAATACAAATATCCAAACTTAAATATTAGATTGATTTTTTAGGCTTGAAAAATATAATTCTAAATAAAATTATAACTATAGTTAAATATTTAAAACTTGTAATGAGTTAATATTATTAATTTCAATCAATAAAAATTAAATCTTTTCCTTTAATAAGAATAAATATTAAAATTTTGAATTAACAAATTGAAAAAATAAATCCCATTCAATTTCTTTCCAAATTCATCATATAAGCAAACCCTTATTTTCAGTTGACAAACTTTTAGATACAAAAATTAGACTTTTGTATAGGAATAGCATTTGAGGTGGAATGAATAAAAATTAATGAAAAATCGATTATAATATAGTAATAAGCATCAACTGCAAAATCCTATAATAATCTTGAACAAATTTATATATATAATTTAATACATGAAAAGTTAAAAACAAAAAGAGTAGATTAATTAAAATGTAGCGGTTGAATTTACTTTTTGTGATAATAATTTATTTTTTAATATGTTAAAAATAATTCTTATGGTATTTCTTGTATATTAAAGAAATAGAACAAAATACATTTTGCTCGTGAGCAAAACGAAGGCGTCTTCTGTCAATTGAATGAGATGATTAAGAACTTATAAGGGATAGAGTTTTTTTCTTTTTTTGAGTTAGATAAATAGTATCAACAATTATCATTTTCAGAAACTTGCAATTTTTAGCTTTACCTTTTATTTTATAACTCAAACCATAATAATATAAAATTTATGTAATTCTTTAAAATATTATATTTATTGAGATAGTGTAGTATAATATAACTAGATAAAAATCCTCAAAAAAAAAAAAATCCATATTCAAGAGTAAATGATACTTCAAGACCAAGATTCGAAGATCAAACTTAAATGCTACAGCCTACAGTTAAAAGATAGAGACTATAGTCAATAACAATACGAGTCGAGCCACTCGTGACTCTGTCAATTCCAAAACTGCCACTACTTAGATTAGAGTTGCATTGACTGTTCAAATCTACATTCAGTTAAATGGAAAAAAAACTTATTTACACTCAGTATATTAAATGCTACTAATAATTTTTTTCCTAATAAAGTACGAATTCTATTCACATAGAAGCTTTCATTTTTGTATATTTCTTCATGGTACACTCTCATCCATAGAAATGGAAAAAATAATGACGTTGAGAGATCCAATTACTGCAATCCACGTAAGTCTGGAATAGAAAAATATTTACTGAAATGATAGAGTCAATAATCAAACTTAAATAAAAAGAAAAAGAGAAAATACAGATAATTAGTATTCCTACTAAGCTCTTTTTCTAAATGGAAGTCAAGCCATAATTAGTATTCCTACTATTACTCACTCATTTTCCAATTCAAGGATAAAATTGTCATTTCAAGGACCCCATGAATCTTCCACCCCAGTCACTACGCATCCCTCAACATTCCCCACCTCACCCCTTTATTATTTTCCAACGCTCTATATCCTCTCTAATCCTACGCACTCCTCAACTAACCTTACACACCAGACAACATAAAAAGACTAAAATTTTAGACATCGGTACTCGCTATCGTGCGCACTTCTCCGGCAACGGGAAAATCGTACTTAAATTTGTGTGTTTTTTTAAGACCAGGAATCGTAGGAAATGGGCGGTGCCGGCGGGAACGGGAACGGCGGAGGGGGAGGGCCGCAACAGTCGGGTACGGCGGAGTCACAGTACTCAACGGCGAGGATTTCGGTGTGGTGGGATATAGAAAACTGTCAAGTACCTAGAGGATCTGATCCTCACGCGATTGCTCAGAATATAAGTTCTGCTCTTGTGAATATGAACTATTGTGGACCCGTTTCAATTTCTGCTTACGGCGATACTACTAAGATCTCTCCTTCTGTTCAGCAGGCGCTTAATAGTACTGGAATCGCCCTTAATCATGTACCTGCAGGTATACTTTTGTGGACTGATGCGTAAAAAAACATTTTTGTTGTTTGCATGGTTTTTAGCTTGTTTAATTTTGATAAAATGACTTCTTTTTAGTTGATTTGATGGATGCTTGAGTTGATCTATGTTGGAGGGTAAATGAAATTGTGTGGTTGAACAGGATCTGTTAGATCTAGTTGAATTTTGGCTTTTTGATTGTCTTTGGTGCTGATTTTTAAGTCAACGGAGTGTCTATGATGGTCTAAAGCGCTTGATTGACTCTTAGTCTTGGAATCTATGCATGTGTCGATCTGATTTTCCTGTGTCTGAATTCTCACGGTCAGATGCAAAATTGCATTTTGTCCAATGATATACCCAAGTTTTTAAATTTATGAAACAAAATATTTTTATTAGGTGACTCAAAATAAAAGGAAATAATGTTCTTTTCTTTACTTTTCTTTTCGAACGCCCTACCAGTGACAAGGATGGGGTGTTTGGTATCTGTTTAGCATGGATTGAAAACTGTTATGAGTTGCTGATCTTTTGTTTCGTAATTGTAGAGCTCATCTTCTCTAAATCGTGAAGAAACCAAAATAGTGGTCTGAGCCAGATCCAGGATTTTAAGTCATTGCGTGGGTTACTACTGCACAGTCCATTCTCTTTGATGACAATGGAATAGATGTTTTTTTTTTCAAAAATAAAAATAAAAATTTAAGCATATGTATTATGAACTAGGAGTGCATGGTCGATTCATAAATTTTTTCCGAGAAAATTTCTTTGAAAGTTATTTCCTTGAGCTAGTAGGAGCTATGTTTTTGGCTCTAAACATATTGAATTGATTGATATTTGCTTAAAGTTGCCTCCATGTGACTAGGAGGTCACGGGTTCAAGCTGTGGAAACAGCCTCTTGCAGAAATGCAGGTAAGTGCAGGGTAAGGCTGCGTACAATAGACCCTTGTGGTCTGGCCTTTCCCTGGACCCGCGCATAGCGGGAGCTTAGTGCACCGGCTGTCCTTTATATCAGTGCTCGCTAGGTGTTAAAACTTTGTAGTCTGACTGGTCGCATATGCTGCCTTACAGCTTTGTACAAAAGTGAAAATTTGGAGTTGATATGTGGTTTCCTTAGTTGACTCTTATCTTAATCTAATATCCTTATTTGGTTGATCCCTTTTCAGTGCCAGCTGACTAAAGTATTAAGCTTACCTCTATTGATGGTTGTTAACTAAGTGAATAGCTAACTGAGTCTTAAGATAACATTTGGAGGTGGTGTATACACTAAGAGAAAACCAGTGTGTTCATGATTCTTATTTTTAGCGCTTATGGTAGCTTGATTAAATCTGTTTAGAACTGCTTGGAGTCAACTTTGACTAATTTTGGACCAAATGTGTATAGGTGTCAAAGATGCAAGTGATAAAAAAATTCTTGTGGACATGTTATTTTGGGCAGTTGACAATCCTGCACCTGCTAATTATTTGTTGATTTCGGGAGATCGTGACTTTTCAAACGCACTTCATCAATTACGCATGCGCAGATATAATATTCTTCTAGCACAACCTCAAAAAGCATCCGTGCCACTTGTTGCTGCTGCGAAGACTGTATGGCTCTGGACAAGCCTTTCAGCTGGAGGACCGCCTTTGACAAATAGTGAATCAAGTCAACTTGTAAATAGCAGTTACGGTTCTTTAGCCACTTCAGACGCATTATCTACGTCATCTAGTGATTCCAATCTGATAAGCCAGGCTGTTGATACTTTCCATGAAAGCCCACAAGTGAAGTTTAACAATGGGGGAAGGGGTACCGATAATAAACAAAAGGGTAGACCAGTTCGTAAAAGTGTGAATCAACCCAATATATCACGAACTTCATCTACAATGTCCGGCACACAAGAAAATCGTAGTGCTGCAAACTTCCATCAACCAGGATATGGGTATCCTAAGCAGTTCAATGATTCAGTGGAGTTGCCTGGAGCTCATAATTCAAGGACTCCGTTCAGTGGGCCCATATCTGCGTCGAGCGGTGGTCCTGGTAATCTCGAGCCTTCCTGGACAAATGGAAACAACTCACAGAGCAGTTATCAAAATAATTATCCTCCAGTAAGGCCAAACAACCTCCCAGCATCACCGGTAATTCCACCTGGTAATTTCTTACCACCTAATTCGCATGTGCATCATTCTCAACCAATGCCTCCTAGGTCTGATGCACAAGGCTTCTCCTCAGGCCTTCAAATACCTATGCCTGATGTGGGTAAGCTAAAAATCAGTGAAAACTCCAACAATGGTCATAATCGTCCTTTTTCTCAATCGTGGAATGGAGAATTGAGACAACCTCCTCAGATTGATAATTCTTATACTAACATAAATGGGCCTCAGAAAGGAAACAATTTGCAGAAGAAAGCACCATTTTACCTTGAAAAAGAGGTCAACAGGTATACACATCCCAGCCCTGAGATTCCACCACCACCATCATCTTTAACAAATAGCAGTAATGGACCGCTCAACGGTGTGTGGGGAGCTCCAGGATGCCCAAAACCTTCTGAGTATGTTCAAGGTCTTATTGGAGTCATTTTACTTGCATTGAACACCCTAAAAAATGAGAAGATTATGCCTACTGAAGCAAACATTGCAGATTGCATCAAATATGGAGATCCAAAACACCGCAATACTGATGTTAAGAAGGCTCTTGCAAGCGCAGTTGAACAACAGCTGGTAGTAACAAAGAAAACAGGTGCTTGGCAATTATATGTTGGTAAAAATGAGAACATATGGAAGTGTGTGAACCCTATTAGTTGTAATCTGAAACAATATCCCAAAGAAGCATGGGATGACCTTCAGAAATTTCTATCATCTTCTGCTGGAAGAGCCGCCATAAGCTCTACTCAGTGCAGGTAATGGGATCTCATTTAAGTTGAACCTTATCGGATTTTGGTGGATGTTGGAGAGGTTTTCAAAAGTATTCATTTTGTTGTAGGACATCCAATTAAAAATTTGACAACGTTGTATTGAGGAAAAAGCTTTTAGGTTCAGGATAATGCCAAACGGGCTTTTTTTGTTAGGTCCTATAAAGATAGTTTCTCGTGTGTATCTGGCTGATATAATCTAATTTGAACTTGCTTATTTACTTGATTCTTCACTAGGTTTGAAGCAGCTACAGTTATTAAGAAAATGTGCTTAAAGGAGCTTGCTTTAGGCGAAATACTTCAGATCTTGCATATGGTTATAAACATGAAGAAATGGCTTGTACAACATCAATCCGGGTGGCAACCAATTAAGATTACTCTAGCAGAGATCGTCCCCGACTCGGGGGTCTTAGCTGCGACATAAGATCTGCAACATCTGGTTATGGACGGGAGAGATGGCTTATAGGTTCTTCTTATCAGTTCCTTCATGCACTTGTCGACTGAACTGGTAACAGATCAATCTGGCCCATTTCTCCTCTTAAAGTGTCGCAATAGATTAAGTAGCTGTATTTATGTTAATTAGATTGTTCTGAAATATATATAGTTATAGTTTGGCTGTTCATCTTTTTCCTGGGAAATAAGAAAGCATTGTGGTGGGAGCTATGTTGGATGTTTTAGTAAAGCCTTCCGAGGTGTTGGGCTTTGGCTGGAATTCTAGAATATCTTAAGTGAGAGATTGCTATCACGTGGTTGGTGCTTCGTATTTGGGCTATTGCTTTATTGCCCGGTTATTGCTTATTGATTAAGCCGATCAATATATGTGGAAAGTTGCTAACAGTGATTCAGGGACTTTCCGGTAAAACTGCTATTCAGGAACTTTTTGAGTAACATATGTGAGGGTATCCTAGTTCTTAATCAAAGTTGCTAACAGTGAGTCAGGTGCTATCCAGCCAGCAAAGAAGTGATTCAGGAACTCCTCGAGTAACATATGTGAGAATGTCCTAGTTGCTCTTGTATCTAACATAGAGATTTTGAAGCTATGAATCTCAGAGCAGGTATCAGGTATACAATTGAGTGAGCAGGATAAGCTTTCAGGAACTCTTCGAGTAAACATATGTGAGAATGTCCTAGTTGCTCTTGTATCTAACATAGAGATTTTGAAGCTATGAATCTCAGAGCAGGTATCAGGTATACAATTGAGTGAGCAGGATAAGCTTTCAGGAACTCTTCGAGTAAACATATGTGAGAATGTCCTAGTTGCTCTTGTATCTAACATAGAGATTTTGAAGCTATGAATCTCAGAGCAGGTATCAGGTATACAATTGAGTGAGAAGGATAAGCTTGTCTGCTTTATATTGAGAGCAAAACTACTGGAGTTGAAGACTCTAAAACTGTCGGAGACAAGTTATTACGGAGCAGGTATCAGGTATACAAGTTGAGATGGTTTTGCTTGGTTTATATCGAGGGCGAAATACTGGAGTTAAAGACTCTGAGGCTGTTGGAGCCGAGTTATTATTAGACTAGTCTTTAAAGTTGTATCTTGCAGTATGAAGATGTTCAGATCTTTGTTTTCTGGCCAGAGAATTGAAAGTCTTCTACCCTTGTGTTTCAGCAAACAGGACTATGCGAACAAAAATTATGTGGCAGATTATGGTATTATGCAACTGCTAAATGAGAGTTTGTGTGAAGACCTAAAATTCCTTCAACCATATCACACTTTTCACTTGCAATTATGGAAGAAGTTAGAGACAAACGACCGAGTCCTTCGTCACTTCAACACAGTTGTCATTGAAGGTTTGGTAATCTAGTTATGGATTATTCTACTTATCATCAAGCTGACAGCATACAAAAAGAGTTGTATGCTTCACCTCACTGCATGCTTAAGGTTTCATTCCGCCCCTACTGTTTTAAATTATTGTAGATATATGTTGTAATGGCTCGAACTGGAAGGAGCTCATTTTCAGCAGTAACTTTTAAAATAGAGCTTTCTTCGTTTTACATTTATTTGTTGCAGCAACTTTAGTCCTGTCTCTCTAGTTACTTGGTAATACCAAAGATCATTTCCTTGAGTATGTATAATTTGCGCCTTATTATAGAATTGTGTTTTAAAAAAAAAATTTGATTTCGGCTGGTTTTATGAAGACTTGAAGTTTCTATAAAATTCTCGAGGGTTTGACGCAAATGATCAATTAAATTTAAGGGTTTTCTGATTTCATCCTTTAAATATAGTACTGTGCATATATACCCTCTCTGTTTTTGTTTCTGGTGCAATCTTGGTTTGGGAATTGGGGCTAATAGAAACAAAAGGAATTCACTTTAGACAACGGTGAATCTGGTAAGTGGTAGCTACTCCGGATCTAAAACAGAAACAGCTTGATCGGCTTCTTCCCCATACCATCGGCTAAAATAAGGTCTCTTTTGGCGCTATGGGTTTCATTATTTTGTGGAGTTTCCTTTTTTCTGATAGCTGATGATAAAGTCCATTAGGGCTGGTCATAACCTGTGAATGATGGGGTATTACCACTTTTAGCTTGTTACACCTACTTTAATATTATGATAAGTTGTAGTAATCCATATGAGGTTGAAAGGATTAAGACCTCGAAAGTTTAACGACCTTAATACCGTTAGATGTTATGTTAGCGTGGTATTTTCTTTTAAGTAAAATAGTTTAGTAAAAGTTTTATAAGCATAATTTTGGATAGTTACTATTATTATTATTTTCGGATATGGTAAATTATACTCATAATATAAGAAAGTTTATGAGATTTTGTTTATTGTAAAGATAAAAATTATTTTCTCACAAGAAAAGAAGGTTATATTTTTACCATTTTAAGAATTAAGCGTACGAAATTTTTTACTCTTTATATGAGATTAGGAAAATTAGAAGTTGAGAAAAATATATGCATTTGTTTTTACATGGATGTTTTAAATAATAGTGTATGTATTTATTTTATATGGTACCACATGACCACGATAGTAAGTTATATAAAGTGTGATAAAAAATAAGTAGAATTTTAAGTAATATGAGATAATTCTTAATTATACGGGTAATTGGTTAATTACCGGGTAACGAGACATTACCTAATTAACTCATAAATTGAATAATGATTAAAATCCTCNCATGGCTTTACGTCACTAACATGGTCAATCAATATCTTTATTGTAGTTTCTAGTTGATGAGTATGCATGCAATGCATCCTTAATCAACTTTAACTTTTTGAATATCTTATACCATGTCTCTGATATTGGTTAAATAAGATTAAGAAGTCTAAGCAGGATCGAATTTTTTAGTCTAAGCAGGATCGAATTGTTTAAGTATAGGTCTACAGGGAGTAAAACTGGAGGGTGATCATGACTGCATGAATTTGGAGGACAAAAGAATTGCTGTCAATTTTAAAGTCTAACTGGGTTTAGAGGGGCATGTCTTGCTTCTCTTTTGATCAGACTTCGAATATTTGCTTTTCTAAGGGGAAAAAAGGCCCTTTCTTCCACTTGGATCATACTCATGGAATTACCTCTTCATTTGTGGTCAGAAAATCTCTTCCAAGAAGTTGGAAGTTTTTTTGGAAGACTTGTTGACTTAGATATTCAGACAATTGATAGAAGTAATTCTGGAAAGTGTGGGTGGAAAAAACCTTTTCTTATGGTTCGGCAAATGTGGTTCACAAGGTTACTTGGAGCTAAAAGGCATCTTAGGCGTAGGTCATACTGGATCTGATGGTGGTTCCAACATTTCCATGCTAGCGAGGGTTGAAAAAGGTCCAAAAGAGTTTGACGAAAAGAATCTTCCCTACATGAAGACAAAAATTACAATGGGTCAGTGCAATCACTGTGGTTTCCGTACTCTTGTGTATACCTCATCTGGAGCATGTGATGATTCAGTGGCAAAGCTTAAGATGATGTGTAGCTTTGGCAGTAAGGTATTACCTCGGGCTAGTGATGGGAAACACAGGTATGTCATACCTGCAGGTATAGATAATCGGTTTGACGAGCCCTCATAGTTGACGAGATTTGCTTCAGAGAAGGATCGATAAAACTCCACCTCATTCGGAGTGCAACCGAGTCTATGAGTCATCGCATCCAAATTTTGCTACAGACTTATGGATAGGCCTGTACCCTGTCCATTTTGATGTCAAATAATCTTAGAGGCTTTGTAGATAGAGGTTCATTTTATACAGTATGTTAGAGGCCATGACGACCCATATGTATTCATGTTTTAAGAAAAATGGTTCAGTGATATAGTATTGCCCATTTACAGTTATACACTACGAGTTATTTCCATGTTGGGCCACGATGGTCACAGAAAGAATGAGTTACAGAGCGGTTCTCTCGGGCCAGCGCGGCATCGGGTGCAAGCCACACCTCCCTAGGTTTGGGGCGTGACAAAGTAGTATCAGAGCGGGTTGTGTCCTAGGGAGTCTATAAAATCGTGCCTAGTAGAGTCTCACTTATGGATGTGTTGAATGCCACATTTATAATTGAGAGGCTATAGGGCATTTAGAAAATGTTACCCTTCTTTTGTTCCAAATCGTGCCATAGAGCTAAGTCGTACAAAGTTGGTATAAAGCTTTCGCTGGATTTTGTATGCACTAGAGGTGCAGGTATCATATTAGAGCATTAAGGCATAATTTTCGCTTATGTGGAAGGAGGTTATGAAAGAAACAAAAGATACGACGCGAGATTGAAGGGTAAGTAAGGTAAAAGTGAAGAAGATACGACATACTCAAGTACAACAAGTTGTGAATAGTCCAGACTTCAGATAGAGGTTGGGTTAATTTACAAAAGAGACCCTGGTGAAAAATTTCGTAAATCTCAAGAGTTAACATTCGCAGACGAATGTTCTAAAGGGGGGAAGGATGTTACACCCCGTACTTTAATATTAGGATAAGTCGTAGTAATCCATATAAGGTTGAAAGGATTAAGACCCCGAAAGTTTAACGACCTTAATACCGTTAGATGTTATATTAGCGTGGTATTTTCTTTTAAGTAAAGTAGTTTAGTAAAAGTTTTATAAGCATAATTTTGGATAGTTACTATTATTACTATTTTCGGATATGGTAAATTATACTCATAATATAAGAAAGTTTATGAGATTTTGTTTATTGTAAAGATAGAAGTTATTTTCTCACAAGAAAAGAAGGTTATATTTTTACCATTTTAAGAATTAAGCATACAAAATTTTATACTGTTTTTATGAGATTAGAAAAATTAGAAGTTGAGAAAAATATATGCATTTGTTTTTACATGGATGTTTTAAATTATAGTGTATGTATTTATTTTATATGATACCACATGACCATGATAGTAAGTTATAAAAAGTGAGTTAAAAAATAAGTACAATTTTAAGTAATTTAAGATAATTCTTAATTATATGGGTAATTGGTTAATTACGACATTACCTAATTAACTAATAAATTGAATAATGATTAAAATTTTCCCCCACCCCAAACGTGGTAGCCCCTTTAAAGTTTAGATGACTCTTAAAGTCATGGGAAATGTGGCAAATTTTAAAAAGTGATATTTGATAGTTGGTATTTAACGTGGGAATTGTATTCAGTTTACTTCTGCTGAATATCCAAAGGCAAAATTTCAACCTAAACATACTGAAGAGTTTGTACTTGAGTTTACGCGTGATCGTGCTAATCCGGGGAAAAATTATGTTCCCAGTACTTCCAGTTCTTTGTTTTGCTCTCTATTTTGACTTATTTGTCATTTTAAATTTTTTCTCAAAAATATCTTTTATTTCTTTTCTCGTTTGGGTTCCAATGAGGATGTGAAGATTGTTCTTAATTCAATAATTAGGCAGCATTGTGGAGTAATGCAATGAAAAAGCTAATTGCATATCTTTATGAACATATATTATGTACGTGGTTTTCACATGGCTTTACGTCACTAACATGGTCAATCAATATCTTTATTGTAGTTTCTAGTTAATGAATATGCATGCAATGCTTCCTTAATCAACTTTAACTTTTTGAATATCTTATATCATGTCTCTGATATTGGTTAAATAAGATTGAGAAGTCTAAGGAGGATCGAATTTTTTAGTCTAAGTAGGATCGAATTATTTATGTATAGGTCTACAGGGAGTAAAACTGGAGGGTGATCATGACTGCATGAATTTGGAAGACAAAAGAATTGGTGTCATTTTTAAAGTCTAACTGGGTTTAGAGGGGCATGTCTTGCTTCTCTTTTGATTAGACTTCGAATATTTGCTTTTCTAAGGAAAAAAAAGGCTCTTTCTTCCACTTGGATCAGACTCATGGAATTACCTCTTCATTTGTGGTCAGAAAAATTTCTTCTAAGAAGTTGGAAGTTTTTTTGAAAGACTTGTTGACTTAGATATTCAGACTATTGATAAAAGTAATTCTGAAAAGTGTAGGTGGAAAAGCCCTTTTCTTATGGTTCGGCAAATGTGGTTCACAAGGTTACTTGGAGCTAAAAGGTATCTTAGGCGTGGGTCATACTGGATCTGATGGTGGTTCTAACACTTCAATGCTAGCGATGGTTGAAAAAGGTCCAAAAGAGTTTGACGAAAAGAAATCTTCCCTACATGAAGACAAAAATTACAATGGGTCAGTGCAATCACTGTGGTTTTCGTACTCTTGTGTATACCTCATCTGGAGCATGTTATGATTCAGTGGCAATGCTTAAGATAATGTGTAGCTTTGGCGGTAAGGTATTACGTTGGCCTAGTGATGGGAAACTCAGGTATGTCATACCTGCAGGTATAGATAATCGGCTTGACGAGCCCTCATTGTTGACGAGATTTGCTTTAGTGAAGGATCGATAAGACTCTACCTCATTCGGAGTGCAGCCGAGTCTATGAGTCATCGCATCAGAATTTTGCTACAGACTTATAGGTAGGCCGGTACCCTGTCCATTTTTTATGTCAAATAATCTTAGAGGCTTTGTAGACAGAGGTTCATTTTATACATTATGTTAGAGGCCATGACGACCCATATGTATTCATGTTTTATAAAAAATTGTTCAGTGATATTGTATTGCCCACTTACAGTTATACACTACGAGTTATTTCCATGTTGGGCCACGATGGTCACAGAAAGAATGAGTTATAGAGCGATTCGCTCGGGCCAGTACGGCATTGGGTGCTAGCCACGCCTCCCTAGGTTTGGGCCAGGACAAAGTGATATCAGAGCGGGTCGTGTCCTAGGAAGTCTATAAAGCCGTGCCTAGTAGAGTCTCACTTATGGATATGTTGCGCACCACATTTATAATAGAGAGGCTATAGGGCATTTAGGAAATGTTACCCTTCTTTTGTTCCAAATCGTGCCATAGAGCTAAGTCGTACAAAGTTGGTATAAAGCTTTCGCTGGATTTTGTATGCACCAGAGGTGCAGGTATCATATTAGAGCATTAAGGCATAATTTTCGCTTATGTGGAAGGAGGTTATGAAAGAAACAAAAGATACGATACGAGATTGAAGGGTAAGTAAGGTAAAAGTGAAGAAGATACGACATATTCAAGTACAACAAGTTGTGAATATTCCAGACTTCAGATAGAGGTTGGGTTAATTTACAAAAGAGACCCTGGTGAAAAATTTCGTAAATCTTTAAGTGTTAACATTCGTAGACGAATGTTCCAAAGGAGGGAAAGATGTTACACCCCGTACTTTAATATTAGGATAAGTCGTAGTAATCCATATAAGGTTGAAAGGATTAAGACCCCGAAAGTTTAACGACCTTAATACCGTTAGATGTTATGTTAACGTGGTATTTTCTTTTAAATAAAGTATTTTAGTAAAAATTTTATAAACATAATTTTGGATAGTTACTATTATTACTATTTTCGGATATGGTAAATTATACTCATAATATAAGAAAGTTTATGAGATTTTGTTTATTGTAAAGATAAAAATTATTTTCTCACGAGAAAAGAAGGTTATATTTTTACCATTTTAAGAATTAAGCGTACGAAATTTTTTACTGTTTTTATGAGAAGAAAAATTCGAAATTGAGAAAAATATATGCATTTGTTTTTACATGAATGTTTTGAATAATAGTGTACGTATTTATCTTATATGGTACCACATGACCATGATAGTAAGTTATATAAAGTGTGTTAAAAAATAAGTAGAATTTTAAGTAATTTGAGATAATTCTTAATTATACGGGTAATTGGTTAGGTACCGGGTAACGGGACATTACCTAATTAACTAATAAATTGAATAATGATTAAAATTTCCCCCCTCCCCTTAAATTTTACATGATTCTTAAAGTCATGGGAAATGTGGCAAATTTTAAAAAGTGATACTTGGTAGTTGGTATTCAACGTGGAAATTGTATTCAGTTCACTTCTGCTTAATATCCAAAGGCAAAATTTCAACCTGAACATACCGAAGAGTTTGTACTTGAGTTTACGCGTGATCGTGCTAATCCGGGGAAAAATTATGTTCCCAGTACTTCCAGTTCTTTGTTTTGCTCTCTATTTTGACTTATTTGTCATTTTAAATTTTTTCTCAAAAATATCTTTTATTTCTTTTCTCGTTTGGGTTCCAATGAGGATGTGAAGATTGTTCTTAATTCAATAATTAGGCAGCATTGTGGAGTAATGCAATGCAGAAGCTAATTGCATATCTTTATGAACATATATTATGTACGTGGTTTTCACATGGCTTTACGTCACTAACATGGTCAATCAATATCTTTATTGTAGTTTCTAGTTAATGAATATGCATGCAATGCTTCCTTAATCAACTTTAACTTTTTGAATATCCTATACCATGTCTCTGATATTGGTTAAATAAGATTGAGAAGTCTAAGGAGGATCAAATTTTTTAGTCTAAGCAGGATCGAATTGTTTAAGTATAGGTCTACAGGGAGTAAAACTGGAGGGTGATCATGACTGCATGAATTTGGAGGACAAAAGAATTGGTGTCAATTTTAAAGTCTAACTGGGTTTAGAGGGGCATGCCTTGCTTCTCTTTTGATCAGACTTCGAATATTTGCTTTTCTAAGGGGAAAAAAGGCCATTTCTTCCACTTGGACCAGACTCATGGAATTACCTCTTCATTTGTTGTTAAAAAAATATCTTTCAAGAAGTTGGAAGTTTTTTTGGAAGACTTGTTAACTTAGATATTCAGATTATTGATAGAAGTAATTCTGAAAAGTGTGAGTGGAAAATCCCTTTTCTTATGGTTCGGCAAATGTGGTTCACAAGGTTACTTGGAGCTAAAAGGCATCTTAGGCGTGGGTCATACTGGATCTGATGGTGGTTCCAACACTTCTATGCTAGCGATGGTTGAAAAGGTCCAAAAGAGTTTGACGAAAAGAAATCTTCCCCACATGAATACAAAAATTACAATGGGTCAGTGCAATCACTGTGGTTTCCGTACTCTTGTGTATACCTCATCTGGAGCATGTGATGATTCAGTGGCAAAGCTTAAGACGGTGTGTAGTTTTGGCGGTAAGGTATTATCTCGGCCTAGTGATGGGAAACTCAGGAATGTCATACTTGCAGGTATAGATAATCGGTTTAACGAGCCCTCATAGTTGACGAGATTTGCTTCAGCGAAGGATCGGTAAGACTCCACCTCATTCGGAGTGCAACCGAGTCTATGAGTCATCGCATCAAAATTTTGCTACAGACTTATGGGTAGGCCGGTACCCAGTCCATTTTGATGTCAAATAATCTTAGAGGTTTTGTATACAGAGATTCATTTTATACAGTATGTTAGAGGCCATGACGACCCATATGTATTCATGTTTTAAGAAAAATGATTTAGTGATATAGTTTTGTCCACTTGCAGTTATACACTATAAGTTATTTCTATGTTGGGCCACGATGGTCACATAAAGAATGAGTTACAGAGCGGTTCGCTCGGGCCAGGGTGGCACCGGGTGCCAGCAACGCCTCCCTAGGTTTGGGGCTTGACATAGCCCGTGCCAGAAATTATTTATATTTGTTAGCCGAGGCCAGAAACTATTTATATTCGTTAGCTGAAAAAGTGTATAAAATTTATATATAACATACATAATGTATATGTATACAACAAATATACATTTTTTTGGCTATTATTTTAAGGGCGACTATACAATGTCATTTTCCCATGAAATTTTGAGATATCATAGGAATGCTAAAACTGAGAGCGGCAAGAAGTTTAATGGGAAGCCGAATTTGATTATCTGAATGCAATTCATGGTTAGCATAAAAACTTGGTCTAATTAAAAAGTAAGCAATATTTGCAATCACAGTTCGTGTTTCCATATGTACAGCTGGAAAGAAATGAGACTAAAACACAAGATTAGAGAGAAATCTTCGTTTGACGAGAAAGTAGTTGTTAGAACATTACCACAAAAGAGGTTTCCGAAGTATCAACACCTTCAAGGGAAAGAAAAGCATTTGGTTATGGGAACCAAAAATTTGACCCAGGAAATAAATTTGATCCATTGCTCTTATGTCTAATATCTGGATTTAGTTCTAAAGATTATACATTTGAACAAAGTAGGGGAAATAAAACTTTCCAATCAGTTACAGTACTTTAGCTGCCCAAATCAGGAGAAATTCAAAAATAGCCAGATTTACAAGTGGTTGTTCAAAAATAGTCCAGTTTCAAAAGTAATCGAAATTTAGCCACTTTTCATGTAAAGACAAATCTGAACGAAAATACTGTTCAAAATCCGGAAAAATACTCCAGCATAATATACTCTGGAGTTTGGAGCACCGGTGCTCCAGTCTCCAGTATACTATAGTGGACCCAGCAAAGTATATCGGTCCAGCATATTATGCTGGAAATTCATACACAGGCGGTACCGAACTCCAGTATATTATGTTGGACTGGTCTCTGTTGCAGCAAAATAGTGATTATTTTTCATTGACTTGATAAATGATGACTATTTTTGAATGACCAGTTCGAAAACTGGCTAGATCGTGCTATTTTTACCCCAAATCAAAGTAGAGAGATCAATCCATTTGGCCCTATTGGGGTGCCTAAACTTTCTGATGAACACAGACGTCGTTTGGGCTAACTAAGTGGTAATGCCAAAGAAGAAATAACAACCCTCTTTTAGTGATATGTCTTGATGCAAAAGAAAGAAAAGACTTTAAGATCATTCAAATTGAAGCTAGATTCATCTCCCCCATTTGGTTACTGTCCAATTGAATTGTCACGTATACAATTTCAAACATGACCATTTGTTGAAAAATGGAGAGAATATAATACCCAAGTCTGTATCACCAAATGATGTTTTTTACTTTTTACCCATTCCCAGGCCAAATATTGGTTAATTAACAAGTTTGATTGAATTCAACTTTTAAACGTTTAGAGACTTTTAGAGGGATGGACAAGAGAGAGACTACGAGAGGCGTCACCTTTATAAACTTGACAACTATGAGGTAGCTAATTCTTATCTCCCTGAAACTCATGGACTAAAGAGCAAATACTCCTTTTAGTAGTCTATTTATTGAGTTTATTTTGTCTGCTTGATTACACTTCCCTTCAACATTACCGATTCTGGTTCCCCTGATTCTGTTCCCTGTTCAGAATTCAGTTCTGTACTGTTTTCAGCATCCCCCCTTCCACTTCAACCTTGCTTAATTCTCGTTTTTTATCCAGCTCATTTTTTTTTTGGGTATTTACTGTTTAAATGTATCTTTTTCGTTGAAATATAAGTGACCACTGAGCAGAGAGGGAGCAACTTCAATGGTGATAAAGCTCTCAACTTTAAAGCTTACCAAGAAAATCCCCAACTGGGTTTGTTCAAAACCCTCTCTTTCTTCACTTTCTGGTGCTTGTAGAATCCAAATCATCCCTGAAACCAATCAGCCCTCTACCCCTTCTTCTGACTTCGACACAAAGATTCAAGTTTTAAAGAATAAGCTTCACCCTGAAACTTTAGCCACCGTTCTCGATTCCACAACTGATTTGGATTCTTCATTGAAGCTATTCAAATGGGCTTCCCTTCAAAAAAAGTTTCATCACTCTGCTGATACTTATTTTCAATTAATCTTGAAGCTAGGTATGGCTGGAAAAATAGATGAAATTGAAGGATTTTGTAATGAGATGGTAAAGGAGAAATTCCCAAATTATGAACAGGTTCTTGTGGCTTTGTTAGATGCATTTGTTAGAAATAGTAGGCTTAGTGAGGCTTTGTGTGTTTTTTCTTGTATAAATTTGAGTAGCTTAAAGCTCTCTATATCTGAATTTAATCAATTATTAGTTGCACTTATCAAGGAAAATAAAGAATTTAAGGATGTATTATTCGTGTATAAGGAGATTGTGAAAGCTGGAATTGGTCCCAATATTGATACACTTAATTATTTGATAGAAGCTTTGTTTGCTGCCAATCGTGTTGATGCTGCATTGGAACAATACAAACGACTTCATAAGAAAGGTTGTAATCCCAATGGGAGGACTTTTCAGATAATTATTGGTGAACTTGTTGCAAGGGGTAGAGTGGATGAGGCACTTGTAATTTTAGATGATATGTTTAGCGTACGGTGTGAACCGGATTATTCTGGATTTTATGCTCATATAATTCCTTTATTTTGTGAGATGAATAAATTAGATGTAGTGATGAGGTTGTTCTCTGTGATGAGAGAATCTAAGGTTCTTCCTGATACACCAACTTATGGAGCAATGATAAAGTGTTTGTGCGAGAATCTTCTCGTGGTTGATGCTGTAAAACTTGTAGATGAAATGGTGTATAGTGATGTTAGGCCAGATGATGATGTATTCATGAGAATAATAGATGGATTATGTGAATTGAATATGTTGAGTGAAGCTAAGGAGTTTTTGAATGACAAAGAAGTTGCAAGTGTACTGCCTTACAATGCACTTCTTGAAGCTTTTCTAAATGATGGCACCTTTAGTATAGCCGAAGATCTGTTTGATGAAATGTTTGAGAGAAACATCACAGATCATCGTTCTTGGAATATCATGATTCGGTACATGTGTGATAATGAAAAGCTGAAAGATGCTTTGAAATATCTTGCTAGAATGACTGTTTCCTCCGTTAGCCCTGATTCGTCTACATATTCTGCTCTCATCATTGGCAACTGTAAATTAGGTGAATGTGAGGATGCCTTGGCTTTGTTTCATCAATTTAGGGCCAAAGCTGGGTTAATAGATTTGGTATCATATGCTCAACTTATTGAATGTCTTTGCCACAAGGAAAAGATTCAGGAAGCTGCTGAAATATTTTGCTTCATGTCAACAAAGAGATACGCTCTTCAGTCCAGTTCGTTTGACAAGCTTATGAAGGGACTTTGTACTAGTGGCTATGCTGGTCAAGCAATCAAATTGCTACCACTTGCATATTATTCTGGTACGTTGTCTTCTACTGCTGCTTACAACAGCATATTGCAAGGCCTATTCAGTTTAGGCAGAGCAAGTGATCTCTTTGTAGTGCTCTCGAGAATGATTGTAAATGGTTGTACCCTGGATGGTGAAACATATTGCATTCTTATTCGGGGCATGACTTCGCTTGGGAGTGTAGAGAAGTCTGCCCTGTTCTTGGATTCAATGCTTCGGCGGGGTCTATCACCAGATTCAGAAACACTTGCTGAACTTCTGGAATATCTAGTGAAAAACGCTCAGGTCCACATGATACTTTCTTCAATAGATAAGCTCGTCTCAGAATCTGAAGTTGTTGATTCAGCTATGTACAACATGCTGATAAATGCTCTCTTGAAAGAGGGATACAAAAACAAGGCCTCTTTCTTACTGGAGTTGATGTTGGATAAGGGATGGGTCCCTGATTCTAGTACTCACGCTTTATTAGTCGGTTCCAGCGTGCAAGATGAAATAGATGCCAAAAAGCCTTCCCATGACAATTTGATCACACAGGATACTGTTGGCTATATACTTGCTGAAGGTCTGGGGAATTCAGATGGACCTGACTGCAGACCATAATACTCTAATGGGGAGATTGTTTCAGCAATCAAGTTGAATGGTACGTAAATGTAGAATATTGGTGATCTGAAGAAAATTATGATGTACTCCAAATCTTCCGTTAGATACCTGCTTCAATCTTCAACACTGATCTACGAAGCACACCTAAAAGTAAGTTCCATCTGTTATTTCTTTCTTTCAGTTTCTATATAAACTTTACAAATACTTTGATGTTCTAATAGCTCTATAAAGTTAGTTATTTTAGTTTTATCCTAATTGTTAGTCATTTATATAATCTGAAGATGACATTACCTTCTCAGAAAGGTTATACTGTTTATCATGCTTTAGAAAATTATGTCTTCTGATAGTTAAACTATAAAACAGAAACTTTTTATGATAGTTCGGAGTTTATCCCGTGATACTCATTTTGCTGTGGTTACTTCACATTTATAAATTCAATTGTCAATATTTGCATCATACTGCTAACGATCCTTCACAAAAAAGACGTTTCAGAATGTTCTATCTCAAATCTGATCTTTTACTGGCTGAGACAGGAACAATTGACTGCAGATAGAACAATTAATTTGCTTTACGCTTCTGTGAGATGAAAGCACCACTTAAAATGTACAATTAAAAATTTGATCTATCCTACTTTTAATAAATCTAATGCTACTTTTAAGCTTCTCAATATCTGAATTTAATCAATCACTTCAATTTTTATTACTTGATATATATCCAAAAGCCATTGTATTTCTTATTATATTCCATTCCAGCAGTTTGGAAGGTGGAAAAAGATGTCTGCCACATGTTTGAATTTTATTGATTATGATGTACGTATTGTGAAGTCTTGCTGTAACTAATAGCTGAATATTAACATCGATGATGCAGTGACAACGAAAGCTGGCTTGACGTCCAGTGTTTAGCATTCCTATCAGCAGTGATGAATTATAATACCTTTCTCGGTCTTATCAGTTTAGTATCACTGCAGGTGAACAGGCTTTTTTTTCGTTGTAATGGCGGTGTTTGAGCCAGCTCACACGCACGTCGACTGATGCACGGGGTACCTTCTACCTCTCACCAGCACAGGTAACATGTAACTATGTCCATAAAGGCTTAGATCGATAAAAAGAAATCACCAAACATTTTTGCCTCTTCTGGGGTGCAGGTGATTAGTATACTACTACAACCAATATTAAGGTTAACTGTATCATATGCTGAGCAACTATGCATTTGTAAATGTTGAGAAATATGTATTCTTGTGCTGCTCGGCTCATCTCTATCTGTGGAGGCCAGGAGCTATGTTCAGATCTTAACGTTCTTTCGATACACTGCCCTCTGATCAGGCAAGTCCAGGCTCGGCTAGAGATATTAAGAAGGAAACTCAAAACACTGTTTAGTACTTGCACTCGAGCTTTGCCTGAAATGTCGTTGATGTACTCGCTCAATTTTGAGATATGAATTTTCTTTTATAAGTGAACTCGGCATAGTGAGTTACTTGCACTCAGACTCCTCAACATTGTATTCAGAACAGAAATGAATGAAATAGTTTCTTCGTTATTTCGAATATCTTAACAGCAGATGAGCAGAAAAAATATTGACTGTAAATTGTTAAGTTTAAATGGGTACTTGCATGCAGAAGGTTCACCGCAGATAATTGATCGAGTCTTAATCACTCTTAACTGTTGCTCCTATGCTTTCTAGATAAAGCTCTTAACCATCAAATTTCTTTATCTAAGAGTAGAGAAAATTCTCCAGCTGAAGTCACAGATGAGTTTAAGCCAATTATTGCCATATGGTCCTCACCAATTTTTAATTTCAAGTATACCATATGTGTCCAAAAATAGAAGCACTAAATGGTGGCGTATGCAAGTGTTGTCTTTAACCTTTTTTTTTTAAATAATTATAGAAGGCCCAATATTTGGATCTTTGACCAATTTCTAGTTCCTCACTTCCCACACCGGCGATTTCCAAAAATAAATAAAGGCAGAATGGCCTAAATGACACTTATACTTGTGTCAATTTGTCATGTCGGTCCTCCTACTTCACTTTTTATCATCCAGACACTTTAACTTGTTCAAAATCAATACTTTAAACCCCTCTGACCGTTGACCAAGCACATGTGGCAAAATAATGATTGAGCTGGATAAAGTGAGTGTAATTCACGCGGATAATAAGCGTGAATACGAATATTTTGAACCAAAAATAATTAAAAGAAAAAGAAAAAAATCATTAAAATAAGAGTGAAAAATAAATAAGAAAAAACAAAAGGGATATTCTGTTCCTCCCTATTCGCC